GTGTCTCGGTTCCTGAGACCATCAGAAATATGTGTTTACCGGTGGCCTTAGGCGACCCCTGTGGAAGGGTGGTTCGAATCCCCCCCCCAAAAGGGTCGTGACCCACAGGTTGAGAACCGCTGCTGTAGAGAATCAAACGTGATGGTCGGCTCTGCACACCTTTCACCGGGCTCACAAAGGAAGTTGAGACAATAACACCACCAAGAGGGCAGCAGCATTCACCCCAAGAAACAACTCAGATTAGGGAAGGAGGGGTGGGGAGTGAAAAAGACCTTTCTATGTGCTGAGTTCTCCGCTGGGAGAACTCCCGCCCACTTTTCAGACAAGAAAACTCGGCCTGAGACAAGTCTGCGACCCAGAGATCCGGAGCCGGTAACTGGTCGGTAAATGCCGGTTCAAAGCCGGAGCCCCGAGGCACTGGGCTGCGATCAGCAGTTCGAAACCACCAGTGATCGCCTTGGAAACCCGCAGGGCAGTGCTCCCCGGTCCCATAGGGTCGCTGTGAGTCGGCGTCGAGTTTGCTTTTTGGAGAACAGAGCCAGCGCGCTCCGACCACCACACACTGATCTCGTCAATGTTTTTGCTCTAACCGGGCGCGGGACGGGTCGGAATGGAACTGTAGAGCCACCTGGCTGCGGCGAGACGGACGGAGGGGGTGGGGAGGGAAGACGAGAAGCGGCCGTCGGACAGATCCGAGGAATACAGGCCCCACCACGTCCCGACACCCTTAAGCCCCGGGCTCCTCAGCTGCAAAACGGGTGGCACAGCCCCACTGCAGAGGCTGGGGCAGGAGGCGCCCCAAGATGTGCGGGGCCGGAAAGTCGGGGAGCCCGCGACCCTCGGCCCGGCCCGGCCCACCGGCGTCACGTACCTCTTCTCGCCCTCAAAGAGCAGGTACGACTCGAAGGCCGGTGGGGCGTTCATCCTAAAGCCGCAGCGGCCGCCAGCTCCAAACCCCGTCACGCGACCGCTTCCGGGTTGGCTTCTGTTTCCGGGTTAGCTTCCGCTTCCGGCTTACGTCAGCGGCGCCAGCCCTTCCCCGCTCAGCGCCCCCTGCTGGCCTGGAGGATCTGGTGCCAACGCGAGCGCGGCGGTCGCTCTGCGCTTGCGTGAGGCTGGAAGGCCGTTCGGTTGGTTCGCGGTGGGTGCACCCCGCAGCGTTTGCGCGGGATCCGTGCGGGCTCGCTGGCGCAAGCAGCCGTCGCCAGGTTTGCCGCGACCCCAGAGCTGTGTCTTTCCCCGTCCCTGACTGCTGGACCCCTCGATGGGACCCCCGGATGGGACGCAGACAGAGAGAGGCGACTGCGTGGTGGATGGGGCCATGCAGTCGTGGATTAAATGTGAGCAACAGCAAGGCAGGGGAGGCCCTGCAGCTCCGTGCGCTTCCATCTGCTGAGCCAGACGGATGCGGGGGTGGATGGACAAAGCCCCTGTCAAGGCTGCCTGCTGCGCAGACTAGTACAAGACTCCTGGGCGGATTGTCACTGACTTGCCAAGCCTGGGGTTCCTGGGAACTTCTAGTTAGCAGGGACAGTTGGGGAAGGACATTGTTGTCAGGTGCCATCGATGTACAGAAACACTGCCCAGCTCTGCGCCGTCCTCACATCTGTTCTGTGTGAGCCGTGGGTTTGGCCACCATGCCAATGCCTCTTTGTCGCATGTATCATCGGTTACTCCTCTGCCGAGCATGATGTCCTTCTCCAGGGACTGGTGTCTCCTGACAGCATGTTCAAAGGTCCAGCCAAGAATTCATGTTGTACTTGGGACAAGGGTAACATTGGTTGTACTTTTACAGAGGACTCATGAGCTGGTGGAAGCATAACAGCTTCAGGGTTTCTTCACAGCAGTGGTTCTCAACCTGTGGGTCGCGACCCCTTTGGGGGTTGAACAACTCTTTCACAGGGATCGCCTAAGACTATGGGAACACATATTTCTGATGGTCTTAGGAACCGAGACACCACTCCTCTACCTCAACCTTCGCACTGACTGACTTTTTAGGAATAGTGTTGCAAAATGTAGCAATGTAGTTTACTGTTGTTATATTAAGACTGTTACCCATGCTATACCATGCTTCCAGACAAGATTTCATTTGTCATTAGAAATAAATATTTCACAATACAGAATGACATCGTTTTTTGTGATTCATCACTATGCTTTAATGATGTTCAATTTGTAACAATGAAAATATATCCTGCATCAGATATTTACGTACATTACAATTCGTAATTAGCAAAATGACAGTTAAGAAGTAGCAACAAAATCATGTTCTGGTTGGGGGTCACCACCACATGAGGAGCTCTATGAAAGGGTCTTGGCATTAGGAAGGTTGAGAACCGCTGCCTCACAGGGTGGCAGCTGGCCACGCCCCCAGGAAATCTGAAGCTGCACTGTTCTTTTTAGGGCGAGCCATTCCCTGCTTGGACCCTGCCCTGGAGCCCAGATCCTCCAAAGTGGCCAACTGGTGAGGGACTGGAGGCAGTGAGGGTCATGGTTGCCTGAGGTCCCCTGCTCCTCTGTCAGCCTGGGAAGTGTGGGTCCAGGAAAAATCTATGAGAACTTCTTAGATCAACCAAACACCTTCGAAGGAATGAATCAAGGGACCTCGGGGTTCAGGACCATGGTCTTGGGGGACACCAAGGTCAGGTGGCGTAACAGCCCCCAAAGACAATGTTCTACATCCTGCGTTGGTGAGTAGTGACTGAGGTTTTATAAGCTCATGAGGGCTACTCGTGTCCTCTCCCCGTCCCGAGGAAAGAAGAGTGAGGCGCACTGGAGACACACAGACGCAATTAGTCCAAAGGACATCAGCCTCCATGACCTTGAGACTGGAAGAACTGGGCAGTGCTCCCACTACCAACTGCTCAGAGAGGGAGCACATTTCAGAGGGAGAAAAACTGTGGAACGGAACTCAAATCAGAAGTCCAGGATCAGAGGCAGAAACTGGATGAATAGTTCCTTAGGGGTATGGGCCCCGTGGGGTCATCATGACACAGGGGGGCTGTGGCTCACAAGGTCAACAGGTCGAAACCACCAGCCGCTCCGCAGGAGAAAGACAGGGCTCTCCACTCTCATAAAGAGTTACAGTCTCAGAAACTTAGAGGGGGAGTGTGACCCTCCTACAGGTCACTATGAGCGGGCATGGACTCGATGACAGTGAATTTGGTTTGAGTTTGGGGCAAGGTAGAGAGAGGACTTTTACCCACCCGGGACTCAGCCTCTGCCTGCCACAGCGGAAGGCTGTCCTGCCTTGAAAACAGGAAGCTGATGATGCTCACTCATTACCTTTCTGTGTTATTACCAGAAGAATCCAGAATGGACCCTACCCCACAGGTTGTCCTAGGGCCTGGCTGAGCGGCCAGGTTAGGGGGCTCCTATGGGGGCTGGTCTAGGCCTAGGACTCGGGGGGAAGGCTCTGAGATGGGTTGCATGCATGTTAAGAAGATGCTCTCATTAACTAGGTGCCAGTTTACTGTGTCCTGAGAGATGCGGATGAAGGCCGTGATGTGAGGGCCAATAGGAGCCTTGCTTTGAGAGGTGTGTGTGTGTGTGTGTGTGTGTGTGTATACAAGGCTCTGCAGATTCAGAATGCAGAGGTGCCTGGGGAGTTCTTACAACACAGACCCGAAGGTTTACAGTGCATGAGTCTTGGTAGGACCTGGGCATATGCACTTTAAAAAAATCTTTAATATTAAAATGTCAAGAATACATGAAGGGGGAAAAAATACCCGAAGGTGAGTTGTATAGCATAATCGCAGGGGCAGTGAATGGTTTAAGGTGGTTCTTCTAGCCAGAGTGTCCAACTCCCACAGAACGACCTTTCCCTGCACAGGTCTGGTAAGATGGTCGGGGAAGAGACTGATAGGATTCACCTGTGAGTCACTGCAAACAGGATTCTCAGGAATGGCATCCTGCTGTGTATAAATGAGCCCTCTGAGAAGCAGGGGGAGGGAGTTCATGACCAGCAAGAATCAGGCGTGTAGTACGCTGGACCCGAGATCCCTGTGCAGGGATCCTCCTGGATCCAGTGTCAGCTATACCATCAGAGCAGCAGAACCAGAAGCCAGAGCATGGAACAGAGGGATGGAATTCCCAACCCTCGGAGCAAGTAAAGATGAATGCTTCTATGCGGGAGGCTTTTGGGGGGAGTGGGGTGCTACTGGGCACTTAATTGGGGAAGCTGAACTTGCTGACCCCTGGGGGTGGAGCTAAGTGCCTTTGGGGTGAGGCTTACTGGAATGGGGGGAGGGGGGCTTATGGACACTTAATTCTGGGAGCTGGGTTTGCTGACCCGGTGAGCTTGAGCTGCGTGCCCCCTGGCTGAGGCTCACCGCAGTGGTCTGCCCCTCTGGGCATTTATGAGCAGCCTCATCCTTTGTAACATGTCCTGGTGAACAACTCCCCCCAGCACTGCTCAATCACATGACAACTGTCCACTTCCTTAATGACCCTTGAATCGTGAATTTAGTCTGTGAGTTTCTGGGTAGCCATTGCAATGGATATCCGAACCCAAAGAAGTAACATCTCCCTCACCTCACTGCCATCGAGTCAATTCTGACCCAGCGACCCTCTTAGGGCAGGGTAGAAGTGCCCCTGAGCACTTCCAAGACTGGAACTCGTGACGGGGCTACAAAGCCCCATCTTTCCCCTGTGGAGCAGCTGGTGGTTTCGAACTGCTGACCTTGCAGTTAGCAGCCCCATACTTCAGCACTACGCCACTGGGGCTCCTTGAGAAGTAAGTTAGAGAACAGGAGTTAAGCCATGCAATAAGGAGCCCACCGTACTGAGCATGCACTCCAACCATGGTCAAGTCACGGTCAGATTGTCTCGTTTCCACTTCGACCTACTCCCCAAAGTCAAAGCTCAGAGGGTCTTATCATTTATCCAGAGAGTTGGCACTGGATCGTGTTGCACTGCCCTGCGCCTCGTCATGAGGGTCTGCTCCAGTCCGTGGCTGCAGCCCCCCTTGTTCTGGGTGTCTTCCAGCCCAAAGGCATCATCTTTCACCAGTCTCTTGGACAACATTCTGTTGCGGTCCGGAGTTTTCTCTGGCTGCTCATTTTCAGAAGTAGGTCACCTTGTCACCACAGTGGATCGCTTCAACAAATGGAAGCGTCATTCTCTCACAGAGGCTAGATGTGCCGGCTCTAGGGAAGGCTTTCTCCATCGACTCTGAAGCAAAGTGCTTGTTGCTTCGGCTCCTATTGCCTGGCTCCTTGGAGAGCTCCGTGTGTCTTGGCATCTGCCTGACCCCTGGGTCTAGGAAGTTCTCAGCACAAGGATCCCAGGTCAAAAGGGTATGGTCCTCTTCCAGCTTTTTTCCTTAGGGGTATCCAGTTCCCCGCTCTCTGCTCACATCTGTCTTGTGTGACTCAAGCAGCAGTGACCTGAGTGAGCGCAGTGATGCACATAAGGGTGGACTTGACTCATACACTCATTTTTTTTAACAGTTTGATTGACAGCTGCTTCATCAATGGCTTTAAATAGATGAAGTCCAGTAGTTTGAGTGTATTCAAGAAGAGTTGTGCAGTTGTCACCACCATCCACTGTGGACCCTTCTCTTCATCCTAGGATCCATTCGCTCCCCATTGGCCCCCAGCCTCCCTGGACTCCCACGACCCCCCTGAACCCTGCTCCATTCACATCTAAAGGTTAGGATTGACAACAGGCCTCGGGCCACGGAGGGCTACCACACAGCAGGGGGGATCATGGCCTAGCCAGGTTGACACGTCTTTCTGGAGGGCACAGTTCAATCCATGACATCTCACCCTTTGGTCTCCCAAAATTCACGCCCTTGCCACCCATAAAATGCATTCACTCCATCGGTGACCCTGCTGGGAATTGAAAAATGCCAGGGGCAGGCCCTCCAGCAGCATAGCAATAGGCAGACCTCCATAGTACGGCAGACTGACAGTCAGTGGTTTTTTAAAAGGGCCCTTAAGTCAAGCACTGATGAAACAAACAAGAACCCTCTGGTTCCTTGAGGCTTCCTCAGTCCCCACTATCATGACCCCAGTCCTGCCTTTCACTGCGGGCTAGACCGGAGCATGTGCACAGGTACAGATAAGAGATAAGAGCTCAGGACACATGGACTCCAGGAACAGGAATGGGAGTAGCGATCCCAGGAGGGTAGGGAGAAGGTGGGGAGAGGAGGGGAGGGGAGGAAGGGGGAACCGATTGCAATGATGAACACATAGCCCCCCACCCCCAGGGGGATGAGCCACAGAAACCATGGAAGAAAGGAGCCAGCACAACCGTCGGTATAAAATATGAAAATAATAATTTACAATTTATCCGGGGGTCCCAAGGGTGGGAGGGGGGAGGGCGAGAACAAAAGAGGAGTGATACCAAAGGCTCAGAGAAAATGTTTAGAAAATGATGACGGCAACCTACGTACAAATATGCCCGATACAATGGATGCATGGCTTGTTATAAGATCTGTAAGAGCCCCAATAAAATGATCTTTTAATTTAAAAAAAAGGTCCCCTTAAAAACCCACACGACCCTATGTCATGCCTTCACGAAGCTCGTTACCTGGCCACTCAAGGTCTACATGTCTCCTGTCTCATACAGATGCCTGGGGGAGGGGGGGGGCGAGTGTCACCTCTGATTCCCACCAGCTACACGAGGGAGGAGGATAACCCAGCTCCACATCTGCCCTGAGATCAGGCATGCCTCCACCCTCCAATGTCCACAGCCTATTCTAACAATGGCAGTGCCCCTGACACGTTCTCTCTTGGGGGGGGGGGGTGTCCACAGCCCACTGCAGTGGCCACACAGAACTCGCAGCCAGTGCTTGTGACCAGGAGGGTTACCACAGAACCTACAGGCCAGTGACCACCAGTCAGACCAGAAAACATGAAGGAGACGGCGCTTCTGTCTGTACCACCTCCGTCACACTGGCAGCCTTGTCTGTCTGGTCTTTGGCCTGTCAGTCGCGGGGACCCTGTGCTCCACTCCAGCAAGTGCCACGAAGGTCCTTTATTGGTGACAAATGCCTCAAAGGCCACTCTACTCTGCAAGCCAGCCTCCTGCCCAGAGGCACTCAGCTTTACTCACTCCTTGGCCCCCTGCTCTGTCTCATGATGTGGTATCGCTCCTCTGCCGTGTCTCACGGTCTCCGCGCTGTGGCCTCTCGTGCCTCTGCCACTTCAGGCAGGGATCTCGCATGCCCTCTGCTGGGGGCTCTTCTTTCTTGATGGTCTGGCAGGGAGGGGCAATTGCTGTCCCTACTTCTCAGCTGGCTCACTCATACCCAGCACAATGCCCAAACCGACCAATCCCTGAGTTCGAGCCCTCTGCGCCTCCTTTGCATATGCCCACCCAGTGACTGATACACAGACTACCGACAGGGGTGCCTTAGCAAGTAATTTCGCTTCACTGCGCGTCTTTTCTCAACATTGTTTTGACTGCATCTGGTTGTGCTTTCTCAAAACTCTTCTAATTGGGGGGCCCCTCCTTCCTCCTCACAACTGGGATGGTTTCAGCAGGCCATGGGAGCTCTGGGTCCAGCACTGAGTTCGAACCCAACTGCTCCCTGTGCTCGGGCTGTGGGACCCCCAGCGATTGACCATCTTACCTGGGATTTCTGGGGGCTCAGGCAGGGCTGAGGGGAGGAATACAAGAATGGATATGAAGGCTCAGAGCAGGGCCCGCTTCGGGGTGTGCTGTGTGTGTGTGTGTGTGTGTGTGTGTGTGTTCACTGCCATCGAGTCAATTCTGACCCAGCGACCCTCTTAGGGCAGGGTAGAAGTGCCCCTGGGTGCTTCCAAGACTGGAACTCGTGACGGGGCTACAAAGCCCCATCTTTCCCCTGTGGAGCAGCTGGTGGTTTCGAACTGCTGACCTTGCAGTTAGCAG